GACTGTGGCTGGGGTGGCCATCCCCCTGGGGGGTGATTTCTCACTTTCCCTCTGTCTGTCTCTCCATCTCTCTCAGATGAGTGCATGTTCTCTATGGCAAAAACCTAATGAAAAGTAAATAAATGAACTGCTTTTGTTCCCTCGCAAAAGTTCACTCTTAAATTCTTTCCTATGCAAATCCAAGTACCCTCCTATCCCAGGTAAAGACCCCCATGGTTTGTCTCCCCAACAATTCTTTGAACTTAAAATTCTCTATGACTATCATATGCCAAATGTGCATGTTAAAAGTAATCTGTATGTGGCGGCAGGCAGGTTGGAGGTTAAGGCGGCTGGATCCCACATAGCCTACTGAGCCATTTGAGTCCCAGACCCAGGAACTTGAAAAACACACTGAGCACATATGCGTGTGTGCCCAAGATCCCAAGGGGAAGATGGAGGAAAAGGGCTTGCACTGTGTCCATTCCCCTGGGTAGTGATTTCTCACTTTCCTTCCCTCCATCATCTCTCTCCAGTGAACATGCCCTATAGGAAAAAAAAAAAAAAGGCTTTTCGGAGGCAAAGCTTATATTACACAACGCGCTGCAAAAACTCCTCTACTCATCTATTCCCTCAAGGTCCTATACCCAGCTTATCATTATGAATAACCATCGTTCTGTTCCAGAATGTAAGAACTGTACCTAACTTTTAAAAATAAGACAGGAGATCTCAAACATAGATATCAAAGGCAGAATCAAGCACAAATACAAAAGCCTAAGGCAAATGACAGATTATATTCCCTACTTGATAATCACAAGTTGTTTCTAGTGGCAGATGGTAATTTTATGGGTGTTTATTTAGGTCTATATCTACATCTACATATGTATCTATATCCATATCTATCAAACTTGGTTTCAAGTGATTACAGGTATTTTCAAAAATTACATTTATCCTAGAAAGATGAGATAATTTCACCACTAAGGAAATCTGAACTAACATGACTGTGGTAAATAGGACATTTTCTGTTGTTTTTTTAAGAATTATTTTATTTAACTTTATTTATTTATTTGTTTGTTTTAATTTGATCAGAGAGGAACAGAGTGAGAGAAAGAGAGAGAGAGAGAAAGTGAGAAAGCAAGCTGCCAGGTCTGGGACTTGAACCACGGTCAGACATGTGGGAGTCCAGCACCCTTAACCACCACGCCACCTGCTGGCCCCAGTAAGGACTTTCTAAGGAAGAGATTCAAGTATATTATACACAGTGACAGCATTGTTAGAACAATACCAAACCACATCAGATGACTAGAAAAGGACCATATTTAACAGGAGGCATAATTTAAAAGAGCCTTCTAAGTGAATTGCATTATTTTATATTCTAACACAGAATAAGAGATCTGCATAATAATAAATCTATGTTATTAAGATCAATAAAGCTGTTTCTTACCAGGTCCAATATATAATTTTGAAAGATTTGTAATAAAAATATTGAATACTGGGTCAGCTACTGGCATGAAGGTTATGGCAGGTGGATCCCACATGGTCAACTGCATGGTTCAAGTCCTGAACCCTGGAGTTTGAAAAACAAGCCAGGCACATGTGTGTGCATGTCCAAAATTCCAAAAGGAGGGAGAAGTGGAGAAGGGATTGTACCGTGACCATGTCCCATAGAGGGTGCTTTCTCATTTTTCTTCTCTTTTTCTCTCCAACAAACATATGTACCCTCTGGCAAATTTTAAAAGAGAAAGAGAGGGAGAGGGAGAGAACTATCAAATCTTTTAAAACTCTTAAATTCAAACATCAGTGATCTGATGAATTTATTATTTAGAAAATAGTGTGATCTATTTCAAAATAGCCTATATTATTAAACTCACTTCTGGATACATCTTGACATTTTCTTTTCTCTAGCCTGGACAAAGATCTTCAAGCCAAGATTCCAAACACCAGCTGTCTCTACAGGTGTCTTGGGAGATAGCACAACGTGAGCCCTTAGAGGTTTATTTTCCAGCAGCAACAGATGACTAAAAGAGAAACGAAAATTCTGTTTATTTCTATTTGAATAGTCCATCACTTTGACAGTAAACCCAATGAAAAAAGTGTCTCCAAAAGGTGTTTGGTGACGTTCAGTATTTACAATGCATTCCTAAGAATAGTGTATTTGAGGGTCAGGAGGGGGTGTGATGATGAAGTCACTAGACTCCCACATGGCTGACTACAGTTTTAAGTCCCAGACCTGGAGGCTTGAAAATCATGCAGGGTATGAGTGTGTGTATGCCCAAAATTCTAGGAGAATGGAGAAGGGATTGTGGTGTGGTCATCACCCGTTGTGAGTGATTTCTCACTTTCCCTCTCACTCTGTCTCTTCTATGGAAAAATACACACACACACACACACACACACACACACTTGGTTCAGTAGCTATAGCTGATAGCTACATAGTGAACCCTCACTTTCCACCTTTCTCCTCTTTAGAATCCTGGTGAGGATAGAGGTGAAGACCTTGTAATGCCTCCAAGATATTGCCATTGTGCCTGACACATCAGGTACTTGCTCAGTGAGTGTTGGCTACCGTTACTTTTTAAAGGATTGTGGGGATAGCATTTGCAAAGACATCACACGAGGGTCAGAAAGGAGAAAACAAGAAAGTTACCTTTCTGCTCATCAGTGTACTCTCACTAAGCATTTTCCAAAAAACATCCAAAACATTTGGTGTTAATTACCTAGGTATTTTAGAGTTTGTTTTCACTTTGGTTCCAGGTTTGCCTTTTTATCCTCATTGATTTTAAATGACATCTTATTCTTTGCCTCCCAAAACAACCATGCCATACTGAAGCCTATAGGACAAAAGATCAAGGCTCCCATCCACCTCTGTTCTCCCAAGAGATGTCAAGCTGCATATGTGTCCGCACAGCCATTCATCCTCACAGAGGGAGGATTCACATTCCACATCCCTCACAGAAGCTCCATCCAATGTAAGACTTCATTCTCTTCGTCATTGCATAGAAACTAAGCCCTCCCACATGTAGAGTTCGTCCTGCAGCTTTGATGATGATATCAACATATTTGGAAGGATTTGACAAGCTCACCCACCTCCACCCCCACAAGTACACAGAGCATCTCTGGGTTAATGCTGGCATGCAGGAGACTCAGATGCACCAAAAGATGGCAGAGGCTTAATTGCATCAAGGAATCAGATGGAAATACGAGCGTTATAGCTCACTGCCACTACCGATCAAGTGAGTCTTGGAATCGGTGGGAATCCATGGACTTCTAGGCCTCCTGCCTGTCTAGTCTGTTCTGAGGATTATAATAAATGATGGGCTTCAATTTAATAAAAGCATCCTAGAGAGATCCCATAAGGCTGGGTTTGTCTATGCAAATGATCACATAGGCCATGAAATGTAAAAAGATTCAGAAAGTAAACAAGTGGAATACTTATTTATATGGTAAGCAATATAAAGACTGTTGGTGACAATGTAATACATATTTCCAATTAACCAGTAAAATAAATTGTGAATGCAAGTGACACAAAGTAACAAGAAATGTTAGGGATGGTAAATACGTTTATTTCCTGGATGTCATTACACATTGTGTACATGCTTCAAAAACCACACTGTACCCCACAAAGATGTACAATGATTATATGTAAATCAGAAATTACAATACAAATTATTTTTTTAAAGTAAACAATTCTGTAGCCAAAGATGATTAAAATTTAGCAGGCTATGAGTGTTACCACTCTACAGGTGGCTTTCTAGGTGGTCATTATATTTTGTGAGCTGCCTGCCCTGTAGCTTTTGATACTCTGGAAGGATTGATGACATTCATTTACTTCCTTTCAAATAGGGCCGTTTTCAATCCAATCGTATTCAGTAACCTGCAAATCTGGCTGCAAGGCACTGTGGGGAAGATGGCTCTCAGATCTGGGCTGTACTGCAGGTGGTTCGGCTGAGAATCATCAAGTACAGTGGCCCTAAAACCTCTGATGAGCCTTTAGTAGAGTAACATCAAAAGTGAGCTTCCTTTTTGGAAAGAGACATGAAAGTGAAAACCTAGCTGAGAGCATCACGTCATAGGACTCATTTTATGTAATGGAAAGAAATGAGGCAAGTGCAGTATTTCTTTTCTCAGTCCATGGAATTAGAACTCCATTAAGGAAAGGTGTATGATACTTTGGTATAATCTCCCAATCCTTGTATGTTTCCAAAAAGGCAAAATAGGGGCCAGCAAGCGCCATGATGGTTAAGGCACTAGACTCCCACATGGCTAACCACAGTTTGAGTCCTGGACCTGGTGGCTTGGAACACACTGGGCACATGTGTGTGCATGCCCAAAAGTCCAAGAGGAGAAATGGAGGAGAAGGTATTTTAGCACGGCCTTCCCTTATGGGAGGTGACTTCTCACTTTCCCTCTTACTGTCTCTTTCTGGCAAGTGCATATGCTCTATGGCAAAAACCTTTAAAAAAAAATAGCAAAATGAAAATATTAACAAAACATTTGAGGTGGGTCTGGCAGGTGGTGTGGTGGTTAAAGGCTCTGGACTCCCACATGGCCAACTATGGTTCAAAGTGTGGATCTGGTGGCTTGCTTTCTCACTCCCCCCCCCCTCTCTCTCTCTGATCAAACTGGAAAATAATAATAAATAAATAAAGTTAAATAAAAATATTATTTAAAAAAATACAATACTCTTAAAAAAAAAACACATTTGGGGTTAGTAGGTGGTATAGTGGTTAAGGCACAAGACTCTACATGACCAACCAGTTTGAGCCCCAGATGGGATGATGGCTTGAAATTCACACCAAGAGCATGTGCATGTGCGCTCAAAATCCTGAGAGGAGAATGGAGAAGGAATTGCACCATGGCCATCTCTCCTGGGGTTGGGGAAGGGTGATTTCTTGCTTTCTGTGTCTCTCTGGTGAGTGCACGTGCCCTATATCAAAAATCTCCAAAACAAATAACAAAATATTCACATTTCTATATAAGGGGTCTTTTAAAAATTATGGATAATATCTATTATGAAAAAACTATGTATGAATTTCAAAAATTTGCACCAAAATATACTCATACTTTTAATTGCCAGAGAGCACATACACTGGCCCGAGAGAGACAGAGAGGTGTCTCCCATTGAGGGGTGCTCTCTTTCGGTTTCTCTCAGACAATCATGCCACGAACCCTTCTCCTCCATTTCTCTATCCTGCCAGGATGTGAGACATGCACATGTATGCACTTGGCATGTTTCTCAGGCCACTGGGGCAGGGACTAGAACCACAGTCTACCTTGTGGGATCTGGCTTCTCTCAACCACTAGGGTAAAAGTCTAGTCCTAAACTCGTACCTTAATTATATTTCTCCAAACTTTTTGAAGTCCCTGCGTAGCTTTATAAAGAGCAGGGTCAGCAGGTGGTGTGCTGACTGGGATGCTGGACTCTCACATGACCAACTGCGGTTCAGATCCTGGACCTGGCGGTTTGCTTTCTTACTTGCTCTTTCTCTCTGTCTTTCTCTGGTCAAATAAAATAATAATAATAATAATAATAATAATAGGGCCAGAGGATGGCATAGTGATTAAGGAGCTGGACTCCCATATGGCTGACAGTGGTTTGAGTCCTGGGCCTGGTGGCTTGCTTTCTCACTTTGTCTCTCTCCCTCTCTCTCTTTCC